ATCCCTTATAAGGCAACCTTAGTTCCCTTCCCCAACCATTGTGGGATCTTAGACATTGTACATGTTCCTTTCGCCATAGCTTGGTTTGCCCGTACCCAGAGCGCCCTGCACGTTGTGACTTGGTTTCTCACAGGGGCCGAACACGTTAGAACCCGAGGGGACAATTTGCTTTCCTTTTGAATTTTATATAGTCCGTTTAGGATCTTGAGAGAAATTTGCATGTTTTCTATTATAGAACCCATGAACATCATACTGAATTTCACGTTATTTTACATGTTAGATATAAAGTCACAAGTGATATGAATAATTTAATCTATCATCGTTCTATTTTTAAAGAATAAAATGTTAGACATTATCACTAGAACAATAAAAAACTAGTTTAATTAAATACTTCAATTTATTTTTATATTAAAATAAAAGCATAAAGTATGACAGGCGTATGATTCAAGAATAAGATTCAATTATTAGTAAGACAAAATTCTTTCACCAAATTTGTACAACTTTTTCTCATTAAATATGCCCAATTATTATGTGAATTTATTGTATTCCTTTCTTTTTATGGTATATTATTTTATTATAATAAGAGAAGTTTTTTTCCAGAGTAAAATGGAAAAGTGGATATTTACTTTTGAAAATGCATACTTATTTTAAGACAAACTAAAATACAAATATAAATATTTATTTTAGAATAGATGGAGTATTCATTTTACGTATGGAATTGGAGTAACCTCCTTTGCTCCAAAGATTGGACCTAGAAATTTTTGTGTCACCGTTTGATTATCAGAAACAAATAGAGGGACATTTTTCACAACCATTATTGGTTAGTTCATTGTCTTTTGTTTATGCGGTCATGTGTTCAAGTCTTTTATTGCACAAAAAAAAAATGATAATGTCATTAACGGGATTCAAACTTGGGGCTGGAGTAGAAGAAAAGTCTTGCAAACCAACTATACTAAATGAAACTTATGTCTTTATTGTAATTTCAAAATATATACGGAGGCACACACCAAATTGATATGTATATAGTGTGTATATAAATATATATATATATATATATATATATCTGATCAAATGTAAATCACTCATATTTGTACAAGCTGTGCAAACCACTCTCATTCGTTGATTTCATTGTTTAATCTTATGAAAAAATTTCATGAAATTGTTTAATCTTATGAAATTGTTTCATATAATACTTTTTTTTGATGAAGATGTTTTATATATGGTTATGAAATTGTTTCATATAATACTTATAATATTTTAATGAAATTGTTTCATGTATTTCTCTAAAATTAATATAATGAAGATGATAATATCCATGATTAACACTCTCCACAATAAAAATTATTAATCAACCTCTCATAATTACAAAAAAAAATTAACAAAATGAAAAATTATGATTGGTTGAATGAGGTTTGTAAGGTTTATACAAATAACGTGGTTTGTAAAATAAACTTTCTCAACCATAAGGGTGGTGCCTGATTGGTTTAAGCTTGGCTCCAAAGGTCAAAAGTACCAGGAGGTCACAGGTTCAAATCCAATGAGTAATAAAAATCCTCTTGTGGCCCCGGAGGTTCAAATGTGGTGACGACGGGCTATCTGCAAAGCACGTGATCGCCCTGGAATTAGTCAGCTCGCATAGCGAGTTGGATATTCATGTTAATCAAAAAAAAACTTTCTCTATGTGTGTGTATGTATATGTATATATATATATATATATGTGTGTGTGTGTGTGTGTATATATTATTATAAAATGACAAATATATTTAATTTTTCAATGTTGTGAATATAGCCCTGCTTCAAAGCCCATGTACACACTCCAGTTGCCTCCTTTTGAGCTAGTCAAGCAGGCGTTGAACACAAACTTACTAAATTTCTTGAGTAGCGAGAATCTTTCCTCAGAGGCACGGAAAGGGTAGGGAAACTTGCACGTGTGGTTCTGACCGGGCTTTCCTGAGGCATCTAATAACCTTGGAAATAAAGAGGACCTCACCTTCTCGTAGATGGTGTCAGTGAGAGACATTTTTTTCCTTCGACGAATTTCAGCTTTGACTAATGGCCCCCTAGCTGAATAGGACAACTCAAATGTCRGCGCAGAAATAGAAAGAGTCGTGTCGAAAAAAGTGAGGCAGCTAAGGCTCTAGCTTCGCTTTCTACTTCTTTGCCTTTCTTTAACGAGACATGTAAAAGTCTGGGAAAGAATCGGGCTTTCAGTATCTATGGTGGAAGAGTGTACTGGTGGTGGTTTAGTTAGAGGCAACAACAAGAAGGGGATTATCTCTTCTTTCAGCTGATTCTCCTTTTACTAGGAAATTGTGGTAAGAACGGTTTCATTCTAGTGCCCGATAAGAATATTCCAAAGCTTTTTTTGAATTGTAGACCTCGGTTGTTGTGCTTTTGGGGTTAATGCCAAATCAATGTAGTAAGATTCATTATAATTTTAATTTAAGAATACGTCGTTTTTTTACTAAACGGGTACCCAACGGGTTCCCGAACCCGTCGGAGATTCCTTCCTCCTGAACTCGTCGGGGTGGGGTCGGGGTGCTAAATGGTGATCGGAGGATGCATTACTGCCCGATACACGTCCCGTTTCCATCCCTACGTGCCACAAACATGCATCACCTGGGTTCGTCTGTGCTTTGTCTTAAGCCCCCCGTGACAAGTTTCTTGCACCATTGTTTGTGCATCCGCCAGACAGTTGCCTATTTCAAAGAATCATTTTATTTCAGCCATACATAAATTTAACGATGAAATGTATGAAAATAAAATATTTTCTAATTTAATTCTTATTTTGTAAAATAATTTTCTAAGACATTTTATTTGTCTAATGTAATAGCAAATTGCATGAGAATAATTTTGAAGTAAATTGCATTTTTGGTTTATGTGTTTTGTTGTTATTTTTTTTGGATCCCTATAAAACTTTTAATGTAAGAAAACCCTTGTGGTATGTAAAAGTGTTTCATTTGGGTCCCTATCTGTTAACACCGTTAAAAGAATTCGCTAAATCAGTGATATTGTGGTCATTTTACTTTTTGATATAATTTTCTACTAATAGTTTAGTTTACTCAAAAGAATTAACAAACCACAAGGACCAAAATTGCAATTTACTCAAAAATTTAAAAGAGAACATTATATATATATATATATATATATATATATATACACACATACATACATAAATGATATTCACATTTCAAATCCTAACCATCTTCGACAAATACCACACGTCTCCGGCTCCTATTTGAGACTTCGAGGCTAACATTCTCCGTTGAACCCCCCCCCCCCCCAAAAAAAAGCCTTTTATTATTGAAACATACTAAATAGAGAGTAAAATCATATACCTTCCCTTACTGCCCTACATGTCTCTATCTCTATTCACCTCCGCTCTACACGGCCAATCTGAACCCATATATGCTTCGTGTTCCTGGATTCGCCTCCACCTCCATTTTTCTGTGATCCGAACCCAGCTTTGTTGCAAAATGGGTAAGGGTATTGAAATAAAGGATGCAGGCTTGAAACATAGCAAGCTCCATTCTTCTCAGGCAAGGATTTCAGGTTGACGGTTTTTGCAAACAACTTCTAGTGGGATGAGGTAGTGGTGTAGGCATGGCAATGAGGTGGGGATGGAGAGGGAATGCAATCTCGACTTCGGTTCCACTATCTCATCCTCGTCCATTGCGAGTATGGGGAATTGAATCCCTTCCCCGGTTTATGTTGGCCTATCCCTGGTTCACTCTCAGTTTATCGTTGGTCAATCCCCTCCTCAATAATATATGGTTCAAAAATGATCAAAATTGGTAAAATATACTATATTATATAACACATATTAAATAAATTATAATTTTAATTAATATATACATGTATATATTTTAAAAAAATATAACTTTAATATAAAATATATACATACGCGGACAGGACAGGTTGGGGACTACATTACCCTGGCCTGGTTTCAAACATGTCAGGGATCTTCGGACCGATACCCATTTTACAGGGAATCCCCAGCCCTGAACGAGACGGGTGAACTGGGTTCCCAACGGGGCGGGAGAAATCACCATGTCTATAGTGATTTTAGTGGTTTCAATTTCGTCATAGGGAGGGGTTTCATCGGGAGAGGCTAAGGGTGGTGGTGGTGGTTGTGGTATTATGACTGTGTCGTGGGAGAGGGATATATATATATTAGAGTCAATTGTGATTTTGTTTCCCGTTGTTTGTTGTTTTTAATGAATAATGAAAAAGGTAAAATGATCTATATACCCTCGTGTGCGAGGCACATCTGCACATGAAGATCGCATCCCTCGTTACGAGCTTGTACACATGCTTCTAGAACTACTCGATTAGCTACGACACCGGGTGCATTTCCCCAAGGGTGCACTAAAGTTCTGCCACCAAACTATAAGACGTTTAATGGGAGGGAATCTTATGGAGTTCGTCTCAGGGACCAAAAACCAAGTACTTTTATATACCACGACCGTATTACCACGAGGGTTTTTTGATAATAAAAAAAATTAGGCACCTATACCAAGAAAAACAATAAATCATAGAAACCAAAACGAAAATTTACTCATAATTTTGTTTTGGAAAAAAAGATAAAACATAGATTATTTAAAACAACCTAGAAATCCAAAATATGGTTTTCTCGGATGGAATATAAATTTACTCTATTACCCTTTTGTCCTGATACACAATCAACGGAAATGGTTCCTTAAAAAATTCATTCTAAAGGTTCTTATGGTAATTCCCACTTCCTCAACGATACAACTGAAGTTATGCATACGTCATATTATGACGTTGATGAAACGTCATTTATATTTTATCCACTCGCTCCTTAGCGCGTGTGTTTTACGTCCCTCTTTTTGTAGATCGACAACCGTAGGCTATCGAGTGGACGTGGCACTCACTCTCCCATAATTTTGTATATTTCTATGCAACAACTTGTCTTTTTAAATTTATTTTTAATATATAATTATATATATATATATATATATATTCTTGGATTATATGTTATTATTGAGAGGTGTGTTACGAGGTTGTAGCTTATATCTCGTACCCACAAAGCTCATCCAAAGTTTGACATTTGTTCACCAAGATTCGAGATTAATCTTAACGAACTGAGTTTGATCTTTAATCTGTTAATAGTGTAATCTGATAGATCTTGCGATGTTTGATAACACCTTTTCAGTCTTGAGTTTCTCTAGCATCAACGAGATTTCATATAATCACACTGGTGATATACAATCATCGAGCAATTTGGGTGGCCAAAAGTCGGAAGATTTCAACAAGAATATTAAGATTGAACCTCAGGTAGAAGCTAAAAGAAGATGTTGTAAAAGAAGGTATGCTTCTATATCACAATGATTTACTTCGAGTGTTGTCTTTTCATTGGCATATTCTCCTACATTCGGACTCGATATATATGTAGTTTACAACAGCTAATCATCATATACTGTTCGGCCAAAAACAGAAAAATCCCATGGACATCAACTAAAGTAACTTCTACCTTGGTTGATGACGGATATGCTTGGAGAAAATACGGACAAAAAGCAATCCACCACACAAACCATCAAAGGTAATTAATTTGGGTATTTTACTACATATATATATACATATACATATATATATATATATATATATAAAAGCTATTTAAACTTATAAACAATGCGTTTTTCAAATTATTGCACAGATTCCAAGTTCAGTCAAATTCGCCAGCTAAGTTCAATAAGACAAATGAATTCAACCTAATAAAATATTTGTTTTACTGATTAGATTAACTTTATTAATTATTTTTTATACAGCTAAATGTAGTTGTACCACTGTATGGTTTTCTTTTATATTTTTTTTCTAATATTAAAATTATTACACCATAGGAGCTATTATAGGTGCACTTACAAGTTTGACCAAGGATGTGAAGCAACTAAACAAGTTCAAAAGACCGATGATGAACCATCAAAGTATAAAATAACCTACAACGGATACCACACATGCAAAAATCATCTGAGAGGCCCAGAGATGATTTTTGATTCATCAAATCTCGAGGATTCATCAATCATTCTTAGCTTTGAAACAAAGGGGCTCATAGACGAGAAACAAGTTGACTCATATTTCCCATCGATGAAACACGATCAACCAAAGGAAGCATTATTTCCTCTAGAATCCACATACAGTCAATCTGTGTTGTTACAAGATGGGATTAGAGCAGAAGTATTCGAGCCCGTGTCAGTGGAGTTGTTAGAGTATGAACATCAAGAAATGATTTCATTAGAGACTTATTTAGCTGGCAACGATGGTTATGAGATAGACAACTTAACTCTATTTGATTTTAGTGATAACTTGTTGAATAATGCTCAAGACGAGCTTGCGTGTTGTAATTAATTATTCCTAAATGTTCCAAACATAAATTATTACGATTGTTTTAATCATTGAGACGTGGTCACACTCTTTCATCGTGATGTTCCCTCTTTATTCTATAACACCGATCACTGGCGTGGATCCAAATCAATACCATATTGTTTGCAACTTTATATATCCATGCAAAAACATCAAAACCACTATAAGAATATTCGAATAGGTAACTGTCATAAACTGTAATATACATGCATATATTTCTAATTAACTAGAAGGGTACTCGCACAATGCATCGAGATATATCTTGATTTAAATGTTTCATTTTTTTGTCTCAGTTAATGTTATAATACGGTTTTATGTGGTTTTGAGAAAACAATAATATTTCTATTTTTGAATAAAATATAAATATGAAGATATCATAAAAATTTGAAAAAAAATATTGATATTAGTACGAAACTAACTATTTAAAATTTCTCATTTTTTATGTATTTCTTTAATTCACTTTTCTTTAGTTTAATAATATAATCTTATATAAAGATAATAATCAAGTATTTTGTTAAAACTCGATGATTATTCTAATTATATTTTAGATTTTTTTATATTTGAAATAAGATGTTTATCATTTATTTGATTATATTTATCTGCAGTTAGTTACACGAATTCAAACATAAATCTTTAATAAGTTATACTTACGCACAATTTACTTGTAATCTTGAATTTTAAGTAATATGCATCAATGAATATTTCATGCATAAAAACAGTTTTTAAGAATTTTTGTCAAATATTTTATAATATAATATAAATATTAGAGTAAATGTATATCCATGGTGTAGGTTATTTTAAATATTTAGTTTTATTTTAAATTATTAAATGATATTTTGACTTTTTAAATATGTTTGAAATATACAATTAAATTTATTGTCTATCATAAATTGATATAAGTATATTTCATAGTATAACATTAATAAATATTATAACTAAAATATTATTTATGAAAAAAGGACTAAAATTACACAAAAACCAAACTTAAAGGACAATATCTATAAATTAAAAACAAAGTTAACATCAAATTTGATGTTAAACTATTTACAAACACCAAAAGAATACAACAATTTATATTAGATTGTAATAAATAATGTAACAATTATGATCCAATGGTCATCCAACAAGGATGTATACTTATGTTTCATAGTCATAAAAAAAATAACATTTAATTGTATTTAATTTAATATTAATATCATTATATATTTTTTCCTTTTTTTTTAACCGGGTTTCTTTTGGTTTTTTGTTTATTAATTTAGTTTACTTTGGTGATTATATATATATATATATATATATATATATATATATATATACTATAAGAGTATTCGCACAATATAGCAAGATACATTTCGATTTTAAAGTTTCGTTTTTTTCTTTGTCTCAATCAATGTTATAATATGGTTTTATGTGGTTTTGAGAAAGTGTAATGTTTTTATTTTTAAAAAATAAAATATAAATATGAAGATAATTATTTAAAATTGAAAAAAAAATATTGATATTAAACTATTTAAAATTTCTCCTTTTTTTGTTTATTTCTTTAATTATTTTTTTATTTTTGGTTTAATAATATAATTTTTTTATAAAGATAATAATTAAGTATTTTGTTAGAAGTTAATGACTATCCTCATTATATTTTAGATTTTTTATATTTAAAATGAGATGTTTATCTTTTATTTAATTATGTTTATCTGCAGTTAGTTACATGAAGATTTAATAAGTTGTACTTACGCACAATTTACTTGTAATCTTGAATTTTAAGTAATATGCATCAATAACAGTACTTTATGCATAAAACATGATTTTTAAGAGTTTTTATCAAATGTTTTATAATATATCTATAATATAGTATAGATAATATGTTTGAATTATGTTTACCTTTAAACATGGTATAATAAATATCCACATATCAATATGTTGCAAGCAAAGGAGCATCTTGAATTTCATTCCAAGCTGGTAAGTGTCACTTTGTAGCAAAAGTTAAGCATAAAGGTCTATATGGGTCCAAACTCGATATTCATTTTGGTAAATCATGGTTTTCTAAGTCAACTTGCAGGCACCTAGATTAATCTCGTAAGACCCTGAAGAACAGATAGAAAAATCTCAGTGGTCTTGGAGGGACTTGAATTGATGATATATGGGAAGGAGCCCCAACGGCTAAACTTATAGCCCCAAACTCGAAGTTGATATCAGATCAAGATACTTTCGAACCCTTGTTACAATATTCAACCATCACATGACCTTAAAAATGGTTCTAGCGAGATCAGACAAGCAGAATACTATCAATATATGATGAGAAACATGAGCATCAACAAAGAAGAACCAAGAAAAATTAGTACTTTTCTCACTCTTTCGTCATTCCAGCCGCATGACAACATTGACAACACGATAGATAACACATTTGTCGTGAAGACATGTTTAATTCTTTATGGAAGTTTGTCATCAAAGAAGAGATAATATTCTTAGGATATGAACATTTATTTTTGTATGAAAGTCTGTCATGAAAACACGTTACTAAATTCTTGTTTATGTTTTTCTATCTTGAGTTTATGATGTTTATTTCCAGCCTTATGAGTTAAGTAAGAACGATATAGGGTTGTAGACATCTTTTGGGATATGTTTTGTCAACCAAACATACGCTCTAAGTCCTTGGGATGATGAACAACATCCAACCACACTGGAATGGATGGTACAAAGTCCTTAATTTAAATAACTATTGACGTCTATTCTTGCTACACTTGTTTTACCATCTGACGAAGTTGCATCTGTAACGTATGTAGTACCTCATGAAATTACTTTCCAAAAGAGTCACTTAAGAAGAGAAGGAAAGTTATAATATACAAAAAAAAATCCAAGAGATGTTGAAAAACATTGTTGTTTAGGATGATATGCAACTCACTAGATGTTGGTCACAGTCAGATCTACAAGAATTTATAGGTAACAATTTGTAGAAAGGGGGAATGAATACAAACACAACAACTTTCACTTTTAAAAATTATATATTGATAAAGAAGATCAATAAAATTTTACAGATGGTTTGCGAAAGAGATATGATACAAAACCTATCTAAACAATCTAAGATACACATAAAATTAAAGATAGCAATAAGAAAAGACTTGCTACAAGAAATAAAGTAAGAAGTAACATGCTCTTCACTTGTTAAAGTGGGTCTTTCTCTTAGACAGAGAGTAGAGAGAGAAGTAACTTCTTGGGTAAGTTTAGAGTAAGGAAGATGATAACTGAGAAGAAAACTACTCAACTATTTATACCCGTTGCATTAAACGCAATTCAGAAGGTACATAGCACGTGGCAAACTTTTAGCGGAAAACTTGTCCTTTGTTACAGTATACAGTCCTTTTGGTTGTATATGAACAGTCCTCCTTCATAATGTAGGTAAGCACGTTTGGAGTCGAAGGAGTGACTCCGTATTGTACTTTACTTAGAAAGGTATGGGTTTGTCATTTGTGTGCAGAAGGACAATACAAAAACTATCTTGCTCAACAATATTTATTTGATCGCTAAACACTGGAATGACGCTGAAGGTCTCATCCGTGTTTGCTGAATCTTGTGCAGATTTCACACTTGTGTAGACGAGCTTGTTATCAATGAAAACCGCTTCAGATCATGAACTTGCCGGTCTCTAATCTTCAGCTTCTGTCTTCGACATTGCTGAAGGATCTGCGGTGTGAGTTTTGTCTAAGTATATTGGTCTTTGAATGAATAACAATACATGTTTAACGATCACTAAACAGACTCAGTGAAGATCACTAAACTGAATACAGAAATAATACACTTTAATAGATAAAAGGAATCATCATCAAATCACTTAGAGAGATGATCAACACCAAACTCATGGTACAAGCACATCAAACATGGATTGAAAATTAATAACAACCACATGGTTTATTGGGAGGCTTAAACTTGGACAACGGAAAAGGGGTTGCCACCAACACCTTTTTTCTATTTAAAAAGCCATTATGCCTTTGGAATATACATGAGTAATACAAGATTTCCTTCATGTGTGGGTTTCTCTTGGCAACTTCTTCTTTGTCTTTGTATAACTTTGTATTTGGAACCATTTTGTGTAGTTGATTTGTTGATATAAGAATCTTGTAAAGTTATAGATATTTCCGGTTAGTAACAAATTTATCTCTCTGTCACTCTGATAGTGGAACCACGTTAAATTTCATTGTCTCAGTTTACATGCCTCTTTGTTATTTGATTGTATATTTGTTATTACCTCTATACTTACGTTTGTGGATCGATATGAATCATTAGACCGTAATATACAATATTTAGATCTCGTTAATTTGTATTTGTTGTATAGGGTCAGTTTGCATTATGGTTTATTGTTATCAGTATTGTTACAAAACACGGACTAACAAAATACTTTCTTGAATACATTTATGAGTAAACAAATGTCATCAACACTAAACTTTTCWCTTTCCTTTATCCTGCGAGGTATGATGACCTGCAAAACCGGTTAGTCCAACAACTGAGCGTTAGACCCAAAAGGTCTAGTGAGTGTATATAACTCATACCAATAACATACTTTCTAAACTAGCAGTTTAGAATCAAACCTGTACATCACAAACATATCTCTCTCGCGGTTACACCACCATTTTATCTCTCTCGCGGTTACACGCCATTACATCTCTCTCACTGTTACACCGCCATTTCATCTCTCTCGCGGTTACACCGCCATTTCATCTCTCTCTCTCTCTTGTGGTTACACAACTCTAATTAAATTTAGCCGGATAAAGAATCCGGTCATCATTGTCCGGAGATCTAATCCGGACAACCACTTAGAATAAAAAAGAGAATAATCCAGACATTACTTGAGCGATTTAGCCAAGTCTGGACAACTCATGGCCGATTTAAGGGAAAGCTGATTGCCTCTTAAGCGGTTTAAGGCGAATTCGGTTGCCTATTGAGCGGTTTAGGTATAACCCCGATCAATACCTGTCTGGTTTAGGTCCGGTCACCCTTTGTCCGATTTAAGGAGAACTCCGGATACTCCTTGTCCGGTTTAAGGACTTAACCAAATATTTATGAAAT